CCTCCTCCTCCTCCTCCTCCTCCTCCTCCTCCTCCTCCTCCTCCTACGTGTGCTCCTTTCCCTCTTCCCCCAGTGTCATCCTACTCGCTCCTGCTCCACCTCCTCTGCCTCCCCCTGATCCTACTCCTGCCCCTTCGCCTACTCGCTGTCCTTGCGGGCGCCATCCTCTGTGTAGCCAGGCACCGTCCTCGTCTTGACGTCCCCCTCGCCCGCGAATTTGACATCCCCGAAGTCCAGGATGCCCTCGGTGGTTTGGGCGAGGATGGAACTGAGTGAGGGAAGGAAGTCGGTGAGCAGGCGAAGGAGGAGCAAGAAAGGGGGCGGAGGAGCAGGAGGAGGGGGGACGGGATGGAGGAAAGGGGAAGGAATGAAGGAGGAAAAAAAGAGAGGAGGAGGACGAGGAGGAGGATGAGAAGAAGGAGGGATGTGGTGCGAGTTCTTGAGGAAGTGAGGTGGAGGACGAGGAGGCCAGAGAAGAAGAGGGGCCGGGCGAGGATGAGAGGGGTGGAGGAGGGAACAGAAAGAGGAAGCGAGGGGGGACGTGGAGGGAGGGGGTCGGAGGGGGGAAGGAGGGGTGCTTGGGGGGAGGGGAGGAGGAGGAGGAGGAGGAGGAGGAGGAGGAGGAGGAGGAGGAGGAGCAGGAGCAGGAGGAGCAGGAGGAGGAGGAGAAAGAACATGATCGACCCACGAACCCGGAAAGGAATATAGACATGTAACGCATGGCAGCGTATTCAAAGACACCTGATTGGGTGACGGGCAACTGCAATGCTGAGTGTATCGATCTTGATGTACCCTGTCGAGGGCTGTGCTGTGCTGCACCGTGCTGAATTGCGATGTGCCATGCCGCGATTGTGCTCTATAGCGTCGTGGATCGAGTCCTCCTTTGCATCCGAGTCCTGACCGAACTGATCTGGATCTTAAGCTCGGGCTGTCTGAACACATAGCAGCTGCCCCAGAGCTAATTGACAGGGGGACATGCCAGGAGGACGCGCCGCGAAACGTCCCAAGGGACGCGCCAGGCGACGTGCCAGGGGATGTGCCATGGGGTCGCACCGCGGGACGTGCAAGTTGCAATACTGAATGTGTCGATCTTGATGTACCGTGCCGAAGTCTGTGCTGTCCTGCGCCGTGCTGAATTGCGATGTGCCATGCCGCGATTGTGCTCTATAGCGTCGTGGATCGAGTCCTCCTTTGCATCCGAGTCCTGACCGAACTGATCTGGATCTGAAGCTCGAGCTGCCTGAACACATAGCAGCTGCCCCAGAGCTAATTGACAGGGGGATATGCCAGGAGGACGCGCCGCGGAACGTCCCAAGGAACGCGCCAGGCGACGTGCCAGGGGACGTGCCATGGGACAAGCGTTTCGCTCAACACATCCTCAACACATTATCATGCTAGACATCCGCCTGGGCGAACTGGACACGTGAAAACAAGTGGTTCGCTCGAGACATCCTCAACACATCTTCACGTGAGACGTCCGCCTGGGTGACCTGGGCACGTGAAAGCAAACGTCTCGCTCGAGACAGTCTCAACATATCTTCATGTTAGACATCCGCCTGGACGACCTGGACACGTGAAAACAAGCGTATCTCTGGAGACATTCTCAACACATCCTCATGCTAGGCATCCGCCTGGGCAACCTGGACACGTGCAAACAAGCATCTCGATCGAGATTTCCTCAACACATCCTCATGCTAGACATCCGCCTGGGCGACGAGGACGCGTAAAACCAAGCGTCTCGCTGGAGACATCCTCAGCAACCTGATCTGGATCTTAAGCTCGAGCTGTCTGAACACATAGCAGCTGCCCCAGAGCTAATTAACAGGGGGATCTGCCAGGAGGACGCGCCGCGGATCTTCCCAAGGGACGCGCCAGGCGACGTGCCAGGGGACGTGCCACGGGACAAGCGTTTCGCTCGAGACATCCTGTCAAAATCCTCATGTTAGACACCCGCCTGAGCGACCTGGACACGTGAAAACAAGCGTTTCGCTCAACACATCCTCAACACATTATCATGCTAGACATCCGCCTGGGCGAACTGGACACGTGAAAACAAGTGGTTCGCTCGAGACATCCTCAACACATCTTCACGTGAGACGTCCGCCTGGGTGACCTGGGCACGTGAATTCAAACGTCTCGCTCGAGACATCCTCAACACATCTTCATGTTAGACATCCGCCTGGGCGCCCTGGACACGTGAAAACAAGCTTATCTCTCGAGACATTCTCAACACATCCTCATGCTAGGCATCCGCCTGGGCAACCTGGACACGTGCAAACAAGCATCTCGATCGAGACTTCCTCAACACATCCTCATGCTAGACATCCGCCTGGGCGACGAGGACGCGTAAAACCAAGCGTCTCGCTCGAGACATCCTCAACAAATCCTGGCGCTTAGACCTCTGCCTGGGCAACCTGGAGGCGTGAAACCAAGCGTCTCGCTCGAGACATCCTCAAGACCTGGGCACGTGAAAACAAGCATTTCACTTCAGAGATCCTCT